TACCTGATCTGTTGTCAAAACTTCGTCAAGTGAGTTCTGTGAGATCTGAGAAAAGAAGGCAGGTTGAGATGAAAATCCCTGCGAAATGGATTGCTGTGATGGCTGCGATCTAAGATATGATGCTTGTGGTCCACTTGTTACCGTGTTTGATTTCCTTCAATTTGTTAAAACACAGTAAATACTGTAAGCTAAGTAGACGGCATGCATCTTACACAGATTAAATGGAAATCAAGGTTGAACTAAGAAATTCAAAATTTCTGAACTCTTTTTTACTTCCAAAACTATATCCAAACAGCACTACTGAAATTTAGGCATAACTAAAAGAATTCTAAGTTTTTCAGGATCGATATATTAATCTCCATGTGTCTAATTTCAAATCTTCGATCTTAGAATAACATAGCAAGTTAAAGGTCCTTCACGAATGCCAAAAAAAAAAAAAATTTGAATTCCGCGTGAAAATTTTAGGTTTTAAGATGCAAAAGATATGTAAGATTAACAAATTTGAAAAACATTCTTCACAACCAAACGGATCTGAACGAGAAATCAAAAGGCATTCAATCTCCTCCTTCAAATATCTATCAAAACAAACAAAAGAGAACTTAAATCTGAGGTTTCTGAGGAACTCAATCTCGCTATCTTTCTTTCCGAGCATTTTTTTTCTCGAGAAACAAAAAGGAAATAATGATGAGAAGTGAAATCGAACCTCGCGTGAGGGGGGAGAACGGAGATGGAGTTGAGATCGCAGGCTTTATTGATCTTCAAGTTCATTCTTAGTAATCCAAACGGATCTTGAGCCCTCTGAGATGCCGAACTGAAACGCTATCCTGAAAATTTGAATTAGCGAGCGAGAGAATAGTCGATTACCAATGATTTTAGAAAAATGAAAAAAAACAAAGAAGTGCGGGTCTTATATACAGGGGAATGGCGGGAAATTGCTAGTGATTGTGGAAATTTGACCCGACCCGTGATCCAAGAAAGTTCTGGGAAAGCCCAAGTCCTATTGGACTTTTGGTCCAGGACCCAATTGACGACTAAAAAAAAAAAAAAGCACACAATTGTTTTTGGACCTGGATGGTTAGAGAGAGATTTTTTTTTTTTAAGTTTTTTCTAACCTATTGATTTAATACACTTTTTAATTATTGTATTAAGTTACATAAAAAAATAAAATTTAACTTTAATTTTAACAAATAACCAATTAAATTAATACATGTGACATTAATAGTAAAACTAATATTTTATTAACTTTTTTTATTATCTATGTGACTCAATGACTATAAAGTGTATTAATTAGACTAAAAATATACATTTGTCTATCTACTTTTACTAATTATTAAAATGAATCCTTATATATATATATATATATATCTCCTCAAATAAAATAAAATAAATCTTTGTACATTTAATAATAATTATAATAATTAATTATTTTAATAATTAAATCAAACTGAAACAATATTTTCAATAAAAGAATATATATTAAAAAAAAAAAACATGGCCATAACATTTTCTCATCCGGCAGTAGCCAAGCCCATAAATTACCCCTAAATTGGCGAGGCATACCAAGAAAATAAAATAAAATAATAATATACAAGGTGGTGAATTCTTTCAGGTTGGGCATGACATTGACGTGGGGAACGTCATCTTCATTTTTATTTTTTCAACTCAATGAAAGCATATCATTTCATCGTTATACGAAATCTACGAAGAAATTCAGATGATGTTGACAAAATTATAAATAGATTAAGCACAACGGGATAGAAGAAAAAGAAGTAAATCAAGTTAAAGTCATCTTCAGTTTTGTTGAAGCAATTAATGAGGATTGAGGTCTCTATCAAACCCAAAACGTCATCTTTAAAATAAACCATTAAAATGTTAAAATATGAACAAATTGTACGAGTTGTTGCTAATACTATACTTTGAGTCTTACCTAATTTCACATCACACCGGCGGTTCAAATAACGAACCACAAATATTTGAATGAAAGGACAGAATGAGTTCTCAACGTTAAGGGGTTGTTTGGTTGAGAATCTCTCGAGAAAATTTTTGCAGAGAAATTAAGTAAAAATTTGGGGCTTGTCGGGTTGTCTATGTTGTAAAAACAATATCACGGAAAGCTGGATAAAAATATGACACAGTTTCAGTTTTGAAAAATTAATTTTTAAACACAAAAATTTATAAAAAATAAAAAATGGTATTTATTTATTTTATTTTCTATAAAATAAGAAAAAAACCTACCATAAAATTACGCTATTTCAATAAATCTATATTAAAAAATTTAAAATATTATATTTTAAAACATAAATTAAAATATTTTTTTTCTTGTAATAATTTATTAAAATTACGTAGTTTTATAATAATTTTCTTTTAATTTTTAAGAGATAAGATGAATAAATATTAAATTTTAAAAAATAATTAATTATATTTATTTTGTAATTTATTATAAACACTTCAAAAGTACCTTAATCAATTCAAATGAATAATAATCGAATATCAAATCTTGGAAGGAAACTTTCTAAGATTTGGTATCAAAAAATGCTTACCATAGAATATGGTTACTTATATAGTTATATTAATTTATAAACAATTATTATTTAAAATAATCATTTTAATTATTTTGCAATCAATTACTTCATATCTTGATTTCTTATGTTAAAAGTTTATTTTTTAAGTCTAAATAAATTATAAAGAAATGTTGGTTTCTTTAAATATTGTTTATTTTTTATTTTTTATATTGATTGCATAATAGAAGGCAGCTCTCTACCATCTTTTATTTCATCTCACCTGCATACCATGCAAATTAAATTCAAAATTTTTTTTTTAACAAAAAAAATTATTATTAAATCATTTAGATCATTGGTTAAATATTGTTTATTACATACAAGTAACTAAACAAGCTCTTATAGGTGGTTTGGACTAGAATTATATGTTTCTCAGCACAAAAATCAATAAATAATTGTAGAGCATGTATAAATAGTTATAAATAGTCATAATTAATATGGTTAATTATATATTATCTTTAATTGGTTATATACTTATACGGTTTGGAAATTTTTTTTTTTTTTTTGGGACTTTTGACTGGGAAGCAACTTCCAAGCAACGTAACCTGTTGTATCCCAGTATAATCAACTGTATTTTTATTTAATAAATTATACTTGAATTCAAAATCTAGGGTAAAGTCAGCTAATTACTCAATTTTCCTACTTTTTTTTTCCAAGATATTGGCAACCAAACATAATCTAAAAAATTTCAACCATTTCGTAGTACTGAATTGACGTAGAGGGTATTTGGTAATTGGAAAAGCTTTAAAAAGTTATTTATTCTAAGCAAAATTTTTTTCTTAAATTTAAAATTTTATCGGAGAAAATTTTAAAAGTTAATTTTCAAAACAGTTTTTGAGTAAGTTTAAAAAAATTTAAATATCTAATTTTTTCAAAATTTATTTAAAAGTTACTTTAAATTTTAATATAAAAATTTTTCTCCTACAAATTTTTATATTTATAAGAGAAAATATTTACTTTTAGATAGATATTTTTTTATCTTTACCAAACACCCTCTTGATATTGCATTTCAAACATGCATCATAAGTTGTATAATTTGCAATTAAGGTTTTATTTGAGAACAATTGATTATAATTGTGGTAAATTTTTTGGTCTTTTAATATATAACAAAGAAATATATTTAACAAATTAGATTAATGTGCATTAATTTTAATTCTAAAAAAAATAGAGTTTCAAATTATATTTGAAAACTAGAATCATAATTTAAATTCAAAAATTCACTTTATTAGATGTTGATATTTATATTTAAAAATTAATTGTATATTTTAATATAATTAGTTTCTAAATCTAAATATCAACATTTAATAAGATAGATTTTAAAATTTTTAATTAAATTTTAATTAAATAAAACAACCTAATTTAAAGTTAGGTTTTTAATTTATTTTAATAGTTGATACTAATATGTTCTTTTTCTTAACAAATTTAATATTTATTTTTTAATTAATATTTCTATATATTTTTAAAATAATAAAAAAACAAAAGAATTAAAAACCCAGAAACACCGCATAAAATTGTCAAACGAATCCTAAATTGATTATTAATAGTAATTGCATTAAGTCATCAAAGAACCAATTAGACCAGCTACATTTTCAAAATTCAGAAAACTATATTCATCGAAAGGTATGCAATTATTTTCTTAATATGTTTTCTCATAGTATGTGTTTTGGCTTATAAAAAAAAAAAATGGTTCGCTCTCACGTTTCTTATATTTATAGTACTGACAATGAAAGGAAGAGAAACATTTATATATTTTGATAGGTTTTCTTAATATGTATCATTAAGTATATGTTATTAATATTTTTTATTGTTAATTTATATAAAAAATCATATAAATTAATATTAACTTTATTATTATTGTTATGTATATAAATTCAATTAAATAATTAATAAATTAAATATCAATATTTATTATTTTAATATAAATTTATAATAAAAAATTATATTTATTACATTTTTATAGAAATTACAGCTAAAAACCTAATCAAAAACAAAAATTAATATGGGTACTGATGAGATAGTTTTATCCTCTGATAATCTAAAATAATGAACAACATTTTTAGAAAAGTTAATTTCGTTTTTCATATCATAAGGGTTTTTTAGGATTTGCAATTCTTTTTGAGGGTACATGCTATTTCAATGAACCCTACATCTAGTAACTTTCTTTACTTCCTGTTTGATTTTCAACAA